TCCATCCATCCATCTTCTCCCGCTTATCCGTGGTCGGGTCGCGGGGGTAGCAGTTCCAGCAGAGAGCCCCAAACGTTCCTTTCCCCTCATCAACCAGCTCTGACTGGGGGATCCCAAGGCGCTCCCTGGCCAGAGAAGAGATATAATCCCTCCACCTGGTCCTAGGTCTACTCCTTGGTCTCTTCCCAGCTGGACGTGCCTGGAACACCTCCCTAGGGAGGCGCCCAGGTGGCATCCTTACTAGGTGCGCGAACCACCTCAACTGGCTCCTTTCGACGCGAAGGAGGAGCGGTTCAACTCCGAGTCCCTCCCGGATGACCGAACTTCTCACCTTATCCCTAAGGGAGACACCAGCCACCCTGCGGAGAAAACCCATCTCGGCCGCTTGTATCATTTTTTTTTTTAAATGTTGAAGTTAAAAGCATCAATCTGGTGCACTTTGAGAGCAACATTAAGAGATCTATGGATACATCTCTCAACATCCATATGAAACAGAACTGTAAGCAGATTTATTTTTCTTTATGGATATTTTACAAATCACTCCCCTTTCGAACTGTATTCTTGTTTATTAATAACAACTTTTTAGTTACTGTCATATAGTATTTTATACCTGTTTTTCATTTAGTCTCTTGTTTTTTTATAACTATAATGATCGTATCAAGGTGTGCCTTAACCTCACTGAGCTGAGGTTATCTGAGCCTCTCAGTCTGTCAGGAGAGAGCTCTCTTCCACCTGGTTGTAGAAAAGCTCTTTAAATTTGTTAGCATAGCTAGCTAACCAGATGCAGGGCTGCACATAATTGGTGCGCAGGTGCGCATGCGCACCTCCGCCAAAAAAAGAGCACCGGGTCATTTGAAACAAAGCGCATTTGCGTACCAACATTGAGAGAGGGAGAGAGGGAGAGAGAGAAGGGAGAAGAGAAAGAGAGAGGAGAGAAGAGAGCGAGAGCGAGAGCGAGAGCGAGAGCGAGAGCGAGAGCGAGAGCGAGAGCGAGAGCGAGAGCGAGAGCGAGAGCGAGAGCGAGAGCGAGAGCGAGAGCGAGAGCGAGAGCGAGAGCGAGAGCGAGAGCGAGAGCGAGAGCGAGAGCGAGAGCGAAAGATATTTGCGAGTTGCATATGAACCATGATATGATAGCTTACACACCTTCCGGCGCAGACTGAAAACTCATCTCTTTCGACTCCACTTCGAGCGATAGAACTATTAACAAAGCACTTATATACTAATAAAGGACTGGCTTATCTAAAGCCAGTTGAGTAGCACTTGAAATGTTTTTGCTCTATGAAGCCTGATGTACTTATATGATTCTGTTTTCTTCATGTTTGTATTTTGTTGGTCGAACGCACTTATTGTAAGTCGCTTTGGATAAAAGCGTCAGCTAAATGCAATGTAATGTAATAACTCAGGGCCGGCCCGTAGCACTGGCTAGATGTTCGCCTAGGGCGCCAGATCTGGGGAGGTGCTGCGCTGGCAGTTCTGGGAGGGAAAAAAACATTTTGACCGTTGGGGCTCATCCTAATTTTCGGCCTTGATGTAACAATATTCATAATTAAGTAAATGTAACACCCTTTTCACCCCGGTTCCACGTTTCATTTGCCCTGTACGATGGGCGCTGTAAGTGATGAAAATGGGGGATGTTGGCTTATCTGGCGCCCGCAGCTCACAGCCAAAATGCGAGTGAGCGAGGGAGAGAGGGAGGGTGCACCGGTACCAGCGCTGTTGTTATTAGAATCTGGTGCTAGCTGCTCTAACGGATATAAGAAGAAGATGTTTCTACAATAATGTGGAGGGAGAGTCCTCTCCAGTCAGACTGAGAGGCTGATAAGTTAACTACAGCTCAGTGAGGTAAAGGACTCTGAGTCTAAGTTCAAACGGTTTGGTCACAATTTATGTAAACACATATTTCCAAGGCACTCCTTTATAATGATTGGGATAAACAGGTTTGAAATCATTCCAATGTATACTATAGGACAGTAACCAAAAATATCCTTTAAAACTGGAAAGATAAAAAAAAATGCATAAATAAATAAATGTTAAGGTAAAATAAGATATGAACAACAAAAATAAAATAAGTTACATTAATTTGTTGCTATGGTAGGTTATTGGTTATGTTCACATACTTATTTGATTACATCCACTTGTCTAAGATGACAACAGAGACTTTTGATCCAAAACCAGCTGTTGACTTGTGGATGCAAGCATCTAATCACAGACTCAACCAGAGAGAAAGTAGTAGGCCTACATCATCAGCTACCATGTCTGACAGAGAGGAAGACAGTGAGGAGAACAGTCAGGAGGGTAGTGATGACAGCTTGTAGGATTACTGGTCGTGCTAATGTTGTCTTGTGTTCACCTCTGCATGTGTGTTCTGTGTTCACCTCTGCATGTGTGTTCTGTGTTCACCTCTGCATGTGTGTTCTGTGTTCACCTCTGCATGTGTGTTCAGTGCCGTGTGTCTGGCAAATAAAGTCAAGACCCCCTCAAAAGTTACGGTTTATTTCATTTTAAGGATGAGCACCAAGCAACATCTCCAGGTGCTCCTTTGAGAACCAGGGCAAAAAAGTTATGTGCACCCCTACTAATAACAACAGATCGCCACTGGGCTTACAACTAAAGACACAGCCACGCAAACACTGCGGTGTGTACGGCTCCTTATGGGTACTGCAATATTTGAAGTGCTGGAGCGGGGTTCCGGTGCTCTCCGTCAGCAATACAGCACGTGATGACACGTTACGCTCGTGTTGTGTTCAAGGAACCTGTCCTTGGCCAGGAAAAACAGGCACTCGCTTGTTTAATTATTTTGCAGTCTAGATTTCTTTAACATTTTTTGAAGTGAGAAGTTGTCCGTCAGTCTGTGACGGAGAATATGAGTTTAAGTAAGTTAAACTCGTATACTGTATATTATATAGATTAATTACACATAATGTACATTATTTCAAGCCTTTATTTGTTTTAATCTTGATCATCACAGCTTACAGCATATGAAAAACCCAAATTCAGTATCTAAGAACATTTGAATATTACAAAATATCCGATAATTAAAATGATTTTTAATACAGAAATATGGGATTAATTAAATGAATTAACTTTTCCACGATATTCAATTGTATTGAGATGCACCTGTACAGTTAAAACTAAAGAAAATCAGGTGCCCAAATAACACTGCTTACCAGTAAGACTGTTCTGACGTAGAAACATACTTTGGTCGCGTTTCCAACCGTGACGGCAGGATTTAAAGATCAAATGCAAAGCTTTTTGTATAATTGCCAGTACAATCGAAATCATATAGCTACAACACTATCTAAGATATTGCAGTATTAAAATCGGAGATAATATGAGTCTGGCAATGCGCAATATTAATTTTGTTCAACCCCCAACACCAAGTCCGACGATTTATTTTCTCCGCCGCAAGATGGCGGCGCGTGACGTCAGATGTGCCAAACATATTTCCACCTGGCTTATCAATCACAGCGGCTTCCGTCGATAGTACAACCAGTTTCGTCTATCATGTCTGATTCTGAGTAGACTATAGACTAAAAGCTTTAGGAATCCAAACTATAACATATAATAAGTACCCTGTATCAAGATTGATGCAAAACAAGTGAAATTTGACCTTTTTAGAGAGGTTTAGAAAAATAAAGTCCAGGCGCTCTGAGTGAGCCTCTGAATTAGCCCCGAGCGAAAAATGCTCGCAGCGGCTCACAGCGGCTTCCGCCGATAGTACAACTTAGTTTCGTCTATCATGTCTGATTCTGAGTCGGAGGCCACCCAATATCTGGAGTATGTTGTCGACATCCAACCATATCTATACGAGCCTCTGATGTCGAAGAGGAAATACAAGGAAACGTCACCTGATATCACCGATGAAAGTGCTGATGGCGATGATTCAAGTTCGCCATCTGAGGAAGAGGCCGAGGGTGCTGAGAATTGGTGTAGATGTGGAAACTGCCAGACCACGCATACAAGCCGAGAAAACAAGTGCTGCCACAACTATGGGAAAGTGAAGGAAGATGTGGGAGAAGAAGTCTGCATCACCGACTGTAGGACGTTCGACATTTTCCGTTATGAGTGGAGGAGCGATGAATGAGCTGCAGATAAACTACAATGCTAACAGTGAATTAGCCCCGAGCGAAAAATGCTAACCTATCACTCCTAGCGCCCTTATTACTTATCCTAGCTCCACATCCAACACATTGTTTATGATCGTAAAGACACAGAATCTAACGGTGCCCACCTCTATAAGCAATAAAACTGCAATTCCGTTATCTGCGTTATCTGCTGTGCTCCGTGCGCTTTGAAATCTAATCAAAAGTTGTTTACCTCAATTCTTTGGCGTTTCTGCATCGCCCGGCTCTTTCGTTCTTTCAGTGGTTTCTTGTGCTGAAATATGGAGGGGACGGCTCCGGGTTTCAGCCTCCGACGTGCTATTAATGCTTCTCCACCCACAGACTTCATGATAGCAGGATCAACGTCATATGCATCACACGCGAAGTGGTCAGAACACAACTTGCTCCATTTTGTCGGTTGCCATCCAACACGATTCACTAAAAAAAAATCAATTTTTTGCGGATGATTTGGTCTTTGGGAAATGCATGTAAAACTCTCCCAGATCCCGCACCGTTCGTACAACAAAAAGCACAACAATAACCCATGTTAATTCAGTTTTCTTTTCGAAAAACATGTGACCGAGACTGCCGAGTCGGGATATTTGGTCCAGAGACTGTTTGGCCACTATTACGTCACGTGCGCGGAGGCTGCTGGGAATTACATGTCAGAAATTCAGACGGCTTTGGGTCGAGTTTTGGATCAATAAAAAGCTTTTTTTTGGGTGTATTATCTCGATTTAAATAAAATAAAAAATACAGGCAGTCTTAAAAACAACATTTCTATAAAAATGTAGCATATTTGGAAGCTTTGCATTTGATCTTTAAGGTACGTTTGTTAACTGCTAATGTTGCCGCTGCTACCGTGTGTATGTATACTGGCGTGTGTGTGAGACTCACCTGGGGAAGGCATCAAAGCAGTACGTCTTGCGTGTGTCAGGGAAGGCCACCCGGAGCCCTGACATGAGTGGTGAGTGGAGGATAACAGCAGCACATTCATAGCGGGCAGCCAGGTCGATGGTGGGCACCGTCCCAATACTCTGACCATACAAGATGATGTTCTCCGGAGCTACATCATACCTGAACACAGCACACGGACAAGCCAGAACAATTAGTTCATTGATTTAATATAGAAAAAGAAAAAACATTTAAAACGAATAAAGACAAGAACAAAACATGCATTTAAACCGGGAATACTCAGTATATGTTTAAAGAGATGCTTATTTTCAGGTTTATAACTTATATTTCCAGTTTTAATTAAACATGTTTATATGCTTCAATTTAACTTTTTTTCATATTGTTGTCTGATTAACCTGTATTCACCCTCTCTCTTTAAGACACCTTTAAGGAAAAATCCATGTCTGCTCTGATTGGTGAGTGTTTCCGGGTCCTTCGTATCTGTATTCGGACGACTGTAACAACGCTGTAGTGGCACTTTCAACCTATATTTTGTACAGTTCAGACATGACAGCCTTATGGACGTCCTGACAGTGAAATGTGCAAAGGCAGTTTAAAAAAAGAAAAAAGGTGTGCGCTAGTGCTGTAGCGACGCGTCAAAATATCGTCGACGACATATTTCCGTGTCGATGCGTCGCTCCACACACGTGGGTCACCCAAAGCAACAAGCAGTTCGCAATCGCACTTCAAACACAATGGAGACTGATACGGCTACCACCTCCTCCTCACAGGATTGCGCACGAAGCCCCCAAACGAAAACATCTCGCCCTAGGTCTTCAAAAGCATGGGAATATTTTAAAGTTAGTCCAAAACGCAAAGATATTTATATCTCACTGAGACTGCTGCATAGCCTAGCAGAAGCAGCAGCTAGCTGTGGTGGCTACCATTAGCAGCTAGCATTTGCTCTCCGATTTTTACATAAAAATGGAATTATGGATTATAAATTCAATAATTGTTTTATACATAGACGTTAAAAACTTATGGATTAACCGATTCATTCGCGTTTTTTCTCATTTTAATGCCATTGAACACGTCTTTTGATCAGATTGACAGCTACGGTGGTGAGACGATCTCCCTAGAAGCTCTGTGAAGGTACGTGTTGTGATGTCTGTGTTTGCTTCCCCTGTCGCGAGTCCGGATCACTCAGTGATGATACTATATACCTACATAATCTGTGCAGTCTCAGCTTTAATTGGATATATTGTATGTGCAGCTACGATAAGTAATAAGGGTACTTTTATCTTGAGTTCTGTGCCAATGTTCGTTAGCATTTTTCGCTCAGGGGTCATTTAGATGCTTCTTATGAGACTTGTGTTTTGTTTTGGTAAATTTGTATCGTCAATTAGCTGAGATTATTTCCGTTAATCTGGTATAACACATTAATAGGTTCTTAAATATTAAGATCCCCTGAGACACAGTATCGTGAAAAAATTTTTTTTTACATTACGTTTTTTATGAATTGAACAACAGAAAAAGAATCGTTAGATTAGTCGACTAATCGATCAAATAATCGCCCGATTAATCGTTTTCAAAATAATCGTTTCCCCCCAGCACTAGTGTGCGCTCTCCACAGAGAAAGCGTCTTTAGATTTTCACAGTATTTATATAGCACCTAGACCTTTCTGAAAATCACAGACATGGCATCTTTAAGCCTTTTGAGTGTTTGTGCATACATGCGTGTGAGGTGTGTTGGGATGGGGTCAGGTGCAAATGCAAATTTGAAATTTGAAAGTTTGAATCTATGGCAACCCCCATGGCCCCCAAATATCTGTAGCCTAAGAGTGTGTGTCCAAAAGTGTGTTTCTGGCAGGGGAGCACTTTATCATAAATGATCTTGCTGCACATGGGTTATGTTTCTATGAAACAATATATTGACAACATATCGCCGCTCTAACCACCGCTGTATTCCCACATTGCTTATCATTTAGGCAGCCCTAGATCCACCAGCATTCCTACAAAACTGTGTAAATCTGTGTAGTGCAGTGTTCAGCAGCAACTTGATAACCAAACATCTAAAGATGAATGACTACATCTAAATTCTTTAGAGCACACTTGGAAAAAACTGTGGTCCGGTAGGGTCAGGTATAGAATGTGTGTTGCAGAATACAGAACCATTTGATATATGACCTGGACATGGTTTCTCCCGACTTCTCCTCTTAAGGACAGCAGGGTGAAAATCAGCGCTGACAGAAAACAGGCCTGTCAGGCAGAGAGAGGGAGAACCTGGGACGGGATGTTCCTTGCCAGAACTCCCAATCTAGGGAGGAAGATTTGAGCAAACCTCCCATCCTGACAGGGCTGGGAGTGCAGAGGCCTAGCAGAACATCAGCAGCCCTCTGCCACAGCACAGACACACACATCTGCACACACTCAGAAAAATTGGACCCTAGCTTAACGGACAACCATGTCAAAAGCTTGTACAACAAATGCCTGGTTGAATGGCTGGATGTGTCCTATGAAGCGATGCCATCAAAAGAGCTGATCAGATAACAGCTAGGGTGTGACTAATCTGTTGGCCTAGACCAGGCATCCTCAAAGTCCGGACTCCGGTCCGGATCCGGACCGAACCACAACTGTCTCTGGACTCTGAGCAAATTATACTTTTCATATGTATTATCTGTGTTATCTGCGAGACATCGTCACAACGCAAGTCAAGTCAAAACGAGTCAAAATGATCCGCTATGTCCATAGACTGCAAACAGCGCTCTGCATGTCCTGTTCCACTGTCTGTGTGTGTCTGTCAACGCATTGGTCCAATCACATTCAGCATCCCGTCAGCGTTTTTTCCCCCCAAACAATCTGCGAATCAGAGGCACAGTAGGGCGGGTCTTTGCAGAATGCGGGTGGGAAAAATGTGTGTCTCGTCCATAGACTGTATATATAAAGGTCTCGTCTCTTTCCACCTGTCTGAGTCAGAGCGAGAGTTTAAAAAAAAAAAATTCAGAGCGAGAGTTAACAGCTCATCTAGTTCCATCTGTACTGTAGCTAGTAGCCTAGTTTCACCTACCGGGGTGGACACCCTAAAAATAGGCCTTGCCACTCCAGCTGCCACCCCAGTTGGCAGCTTTGTTTTGAAAGAAAAGTTGTGGCTCATCGGACATTTATGAGAGAAAGTCTCTAATGTCCGAGTGCAAGTGAATGCAGCACAAGATGCACGTCATGTAACCCCTCCCCCGGTCCTGGCGCGAGCGTGGACATATGATTGGCGGCGATTTCATTTGAACGGGACGGTGCAAAACGAGAAGCATTCGGACCCAAGCACTGAAGGAATGAGGTATTTGAGGTCTACACTGACAGAGAAGAGACTGTCAAGTTTGACTGTACTCAGCATTGAATCAAAACGCACTAAAGCTTTGGATCTTACTAATTTTGTGAGGCGTTTTGCTGAACAAAATGGTAATCACCGCATTCAGCTGTAATAGACACATTTATGCTCTGCTCACGGATGAGCATACAAAACTATTAAGATGATGACTTTACGTGTGTAAATATATTTTTTTCTTTGAGGGGGTCTGCCCCCAAAAAACAGTTTTAAGTCCTGAGAAAGTCAAATAAGACGGTGTGTAAAACTACACTGCCCAGCCAAACAAAAGTAACCACTTTGATTGAACTAGGCCAGTAGGTAAGGACTTTCCACTGGATAATAACTGCAGTATAAAATAATGCATGACTGAAGTGATGGAGACCTTGTTTGAAGGCAAACAAAAAGAGGAAATAACAGGTCAAGCAAATCCCCCTCTCAGATTCCACAGCAACCAGAAGAACATAAATACTGGCTGGTGATTTGATTCATCAGCTTTGTGATGGAATAAAAAATGCAGTGCATTTCCTTAGCTGTGGGTGAGTCCACTGACACCACTGACAATGCTCAGTTGCTGGTGTTTGTGAGTTTTTATGATGTGGCAAAGGGGGAGTTTGTTGAAGATGTGTTGGGCCTGACGAACCTCAGTGGACACACAAGGGGGAATACATTTATAAAGCAATAATGGGAATGCTGAATGAAAGAGGGTGCAGCTGCCTTTATTCATAACTGCAGCTCTTACACTGCGACTCTGAGGGGTCAAGCACAGACACAATAACAATGAAAACTGCTGCATACAGATTATTTTTGTTTTTGCAACCTCGTGTTAAGAATCTTGTTGCAATTGTTTAAAAGTTTGAATGACCGTAATAAACGGACCTTTGTCTTATTGAAACATTTATTTTGGACCTTTAAGATTTGTATTTGAGTACCCCTGGCCTAGACAAATCCTGCCTCTGATAAGCAGCAACTAAACTGAGCAGTCATCCTGATAGAAGATTATGACCCCACACATGGATGGACAAAGTAGCTGGCTGCCAGCTGAGTCACAAAACATGGACTTTGATGCAGCACACTGTTAGGGACAGAGAGTCCCTACAAACGATTTATGATTATAGCCATAACAGGGCTATGCTACTGTAAAAAAAGGCTCATGCATACATACATGACAAGGAAATAATGTTTGTTTTTAAATCACATTTCCAAGTTTGACCGTGAGTTCTTCCCTTCAAGCTGGCAGTGAAAATAAATAATATGCAGATAAATCCGTACAAAGAACATGTATTGGAACGACTGGACACCACTGATCATCGGTAAGAACGATTACTAACAGCAGAACTAAATGAATAACAAATATGCACTCTATCTTTAGGAGAAGTGAAAACGAAGAAAAGGGCAAAGCATTTTGCTAAAGCATGCTCTAGTTTCTTAAAGGGGACTTATTATGCTATATTTGAAAAATATATTGTAGGGCCATATCTATACAAAACATGCCTGTGCAGTTTTTTGCTTAAAATACCAAACGGATCACCCATTGTAGCCATGCCTCATACTGCTCATACCCCTCTATTGCAGCCCTGTTCCAAAAAAGCTGATTCTGTGACCGTAGCTTTAAATGGAACAGATGCTGCTAGCCACGCCCATTTTCAGCGTCATACAGCTCTCCCCTGCTAAGAGAGTTTTCTACCGGGAGAAACTCAGCTAAACGCTGCTGTGAATAAATGCCATATTATGTTCCAAACCACTTCAAGCTTTATTTCTGAAACAGTATGGAGCTCAAACCTTTCTCTCTCGTAGGGTTTACCACATTACGTTACACATA